CTAAGTCTAGTTTTTCAGTAACACATAGATTGCACATAGTCACTCTGGAGTCAAGGAAAAGGAGCCTGACCTGTCAAAAATAGCAGGTCATTGCCCTTTGATTTCGCTCAATCCTTTCATTGTTCCTGATGCTGAAACCAATACTATAAATTTCTTACTGTGCACATTAAACCAGTTTTGATCTTTTGAGGAGTAGCCAAGGGTCCACAATTAGTTCTAAATAATACATATACATTTAATTTGCCCCAGATAAAAATTGCAAGTCCAAAAGAATAGGATATTTAAAAGAATTTGCACAAGTACTCACAAGTATAGAAATGTTCAGGAGTTCTGTATTTGAGAATTTGGTGAAAGAAGCTTTGATATGAAAACGTATGATTATCATGAAAACCATGTATTTGAAACATGCTTAGACTCTCAGTATTAGAAGATAAAATACTTCTTTGATTTTGACACATTACAATGACTTAATATCATTTTCTTAATAAGCATTGATTTATCTCTTTGAATAGTTAATACATTTGTGTTTGTGTATGAAATAAATATGACTAACTTTTTGTACATTTGACATTGATGGAGCATGCTGAATGGTATACAGAGCATATATGCTGGTGTTGGTGGATTTTTACAGGCTCAAAAAGTGCTTGATAGTGGAATAAGACTCTTCTTTGGTAACCTCACATTATGGCAAGAAGGCCTTAATTTACAGGTTGAGCAACTCTGCTTGGGAAGTCCAAAATCTAAAATGCTCAAAATCCATAATTCCAATCTGACCTCATGTAATGGGTCACAGTCAAAATACAGGCTCAAAATTCATTTTATGAACAAAATTATTAAAAATATTGTATGAAGCTACCTCCAGGCTATGTATGGTAAGTGTATGTGAAACAAATCAATTTTCTGTTTAGACTAAAATCCCATCCATGAGACATCTCACTATGTATATGCAAATATTTCAAAATCTGAAAAAAAAACCAAAAACAAATTCAAAACAGTTCTGGCTTAAGCATTTCAAACAAGGGGTAGTCAACTTGCATTTTTTCAGTCTGTACTCCAGCACTGGAATTCTCAACCTCACACTGTGGCTTCAACCTCTACACCTGGCTTCAAACTATGACATTTTAATAATACAAAGAATTACATAAAACTGGGGCCTGCAAGTAGTATGGTGGTTAAGGCACTGGACTCCAATGTGGCTGACTATGGTTCAAGTCTCGGACCTAGCAGCTTGCTTTCTCACTTTCTATCTTCCCTCCTACCCTGTCTCTGGTGAGTTAACATGCTTTATATCAAAATTAAATACTACTACTACTACTACTAATATATGAAATTAAATAAATAACTCTTTAAAGAAAATAATTACATAAAACCAAATACATCATATTCATCTCTTTTAGTGCAAGTTAATCATTAAAAAGTTTCCAAAGTTGGGAACCAGCAGTTAGCATAATGGCTATGTCACTGGACTCCCACGTAGTCGACCGTGGTTCGCGTCCCGGTCCCGGTGGCTTAGAACTCATGCCGGGCGCGTGTGCGTGCGTGCGCAAGATCCCGAGAGGAGAATGGATGAGAAGGGATTGCAGCGTGACCATCCCTCCTGGGGGGTGATTTCTCGCTTTCTGTCTCTATGTCTCTGTCTGTCTGGCGAGCACACGCGCCCTATGGCAAAAACCTCTCCCCCCCAAAAAAAAAGTTTCCAAAGTATACTGGACACATTGCTTTGAGCAGTCTTTCAGCCCTTTTTATTGAGAAGAAACCTCTACATTACACCACGGAAACAGGTAGTTTCGTTTGTTCGTTTTATCAGAATTCTACATTTGTGGTCAGAGCTGTGTGGTTTCACAACTAGCAAATGACTCAGGATGAGGTGATGAGACTCTTCTTTGACTGTTTTTCAACATGAAACCAGCTGGGTAGAACTATTTATCTGATAGAAGAAGCGGTAGGTATAATACTCTGGACCAAAGCAGAGGGGATGGTTGGCACTAAGAGGGAGAAAGGTAAAATAAGGATCCTAGAGTAGCCATAAATAGCAAACAATGTTGATGGCATTTCTATTGCCAGTTTATTCTCTTGTTCATAACATGGATTGAGTAAGTAGTATGTGTTAGATACTGTTCCAGAATCTAGGTACATATGAGTGTGATGGAAAAGAAGTTCTCGCTTTTAAGAACTTTATGTTCTATTGGAGAAGGTAGATAATAAACAGATGTCTTAGTGCATTTTGTGTTGCTCTATCACATTACTTGAGAATGAGTCATTTATAAATAACAGAGACTTACTTGTTACAGTTATGGAGTCTGGGAAGACAAGATCAAGATCCTTGCTTCTGGTGAGGGCCTTCTTGCTTGTCACCCAGGGGTGGGAGACAGAAAGAAGAGAGCAGAAGGGGGCCAAACTCACTTTTATAACAAGCCCACTCTTGATAATTATACTATTCTACGTGTAAGGGAAGAGCCCTCATGATCTAAACTCTTATTAGACTTTACCTCCCAACACTGTTGCATTAGGGATTAAGTTTCCAATACATGAACTTTAGTAGACACATAAAAACCATAGCAACAAGTAAGCACTAAGTATATAACTTTACATAGTAATGGTTTCTCTGGCAAATAGGGCAAGGGCTGGAGGTATGGGGGATAAACCACACAAATCTTTGTGGTTGGGGAAGAAATTTTCAGACAAAAGAGTAGAGGTTCAAAGGCCACAAAGAAAGAATAATCTTGTATTCAATATACATTGTCATGATTGTGTGGAGTAAACAAGGAGAATAGCAACAAACCTATATATAGAGAGAGAGAAAGAAAAAGGTTGCATCATAATAGGGCCTTCTTAGCTGTGGATTTGAAGAAGTAAAGAAAGTCATTAGGACATTTTGTCCAAGACATGTACGCGCTCTTATTTACATTTACATTACATTGATATTTCTGGTCACTGTGTGAGAACAGATTGGAGAGGACAAGAAGAGAAGGAGTCTTCTATGACAGTCGAGATGGGAGATTTCTATGGTTTGCATTAAGTTAGCTGCAAAAAAGGGGGGGGGGAAGGTTCACATTCAAGGAAAATTGTATTTCTTGATGACTCATATAAGGAATATGAAGAGGGAAATCAAGAGCCATTTAGGTTTCAGCTTAGTGGTACCACGTTATAAATGGAAGAGTAAGTCTCCCTTATAGGTAAGGGTCTATAAGAATCATTCAAATATATCCTTGTAAATTACACTCAGAAAGGCATTCAAAATGAGTATTCATAGGTTGTGGAAGAGAGAGGCCATCAGGGCCATGTGGGATAAACTCCTAGAGAGTGGAATCAACCAAGCAAGAAAAGGGAGCTGAGAGAGAGAGAGAGACAGACAGACAGACAGACAGAGGTAGGTCTTGGGCAAAGGCCTTACTGCTTTTATTAGGGGTCAACATGTAGTACACAAGCAAAATGTATAAGGAGATTTCATTTGTGTGCCTAAATGTCACTAGTTAGAGGATGGAAATAAGAACTTGTGGCAGGGACGGACCTTAACACACAGCTGCACTTGGTTCCTTGGACAGAGTGTTCACAGCCTATTTGTTGAGTATTAGAGTATCAAGACAATATAGTTTTAAAAGTTTACAATACAAATGGGTAATTTAGTAGACAAACACTAGCACAATTCTTGTCCTTTTCTGGTCTGTATGACTCAAATCCCTGTTATTTTCCACCTTGGCACACCCAGTTACCATAGGAAATAGATTATCCCAAAGTGCCAACAATTTGATTCTAGCCCTGTGAGCCGTACTTTGGACTTCTGGCTTTCAGAGCTGTAAGGTTACCACTAACCTTGTAGTAGGTTGCTAACAGCAGGCAATACGATTTTTTTTTGTTTACTTCTCTTTTAATTTGTCTAGCTAGGTTGGATACTTAGCCTACTGATTTTCATTCTAACTCCTTATGCAGGTATTTAATGTGATACATATATCTCCAATCATAGTTTTAAATATATTCTACACATTTTTTAGAAATATTTTAGGGCTATTTAATTTTAAGAATTTTAATTCATTCTTTCTTCCCCTTCAGGTTTCTTTCTTCCTTGGTAGTAGTCTTATTAATTGCCTACCCAATATAAAAATTTTTGTCTTAAATTTCATCAGTGATCATGTTGTCAGAAAGCATGGTTTCTAAGACCTTAATTATTTGATTTTTTTTGTAGACTAGTTTTGTGATTTAGCAAGAGAGTAAAGACTGTATATTCTCACGTTATTAGGCATAATATAGAATCAAAGAAAGATCCTAACTGGATTGTTTAAATTTTTCCCTAACCTTACTAATTTTTGACACCTATAATATGTAAAGTTATGAAAACATCAGGCATATTGCAATGTAGTATTATTTCATGTGTCACATTAAAACCTTGAGGGAAATTCAATCTGTTAGTTTTCTACATAGCACTGTTGGTGAATGGGAGCTCTCTACTGAGTGGTTTTATTTCCTGTAGGACATTAAATTCTACTCAGCAAATCCTACTTCAGTACAAGCTATGGGCTTTTACTCCACACTGATAGAAATTTTTGCATTGGTAAAAAATAATTTTTAATGAGTCTCAAGACCAAAGAATCATCCCCCAATTTTCTCTATCCTTGTTCTGATTTTTGTAGTTTAAATAGCAAATAAGAAAAGGAAGAAATAAGGAAAAAAAGGAAAAAAGAGGAAGTACAAGAGAGAGAAGTACAAGAGAAGGAAGAGACAGATAAGGAAAAGGAAAGTGAGAATTTAAGGCAATTGTTGAACTAAATTTGTTGAATAGTTGGTAGTGGTTACATGTGCCAGACTCTAGTGAGGCAGGTGTATGTATGTGTATATGTGTACTTTCGATCTTAGCCTTTGGTGTCCTAGGTGTATAATTTTCCTAGAGGGCATTGACTAAAGATAAAGAAACACTGAGTATCTGTGATAAGCTATGCAGCCTTCCCCTTATTGTTTTCAGGAAATGAAACTGAAAGTGTGTGTCTTAGATGGTACAAAGGTGGAGCTGCCAGTCATTCAGTTGGCAGAAGGGTATAGTTCTATCTGCCTTTCTAGATCTTCTCAGGACACCTCTGAAGACTCATCCATCCTCTAACTTGCTTGCAGTTGATCAGTGAAAGGGAAAACTCTTGACTACAGGTAAAGGAGGGTTTTGTGCCTATACATAGGTGAAATGGGAAGAACAATGAGTGTATATCTTTTGAGGCCATTTGTGAAGGAAGAATAGACTACTGGAAACTAAGTTAAACTTCAAGATCAGCTTTAGAGCAGAGGAGTGGTGGTAGTTTTAGATCCAAGATAAAATACTGTAATTTAATTTTGAATAAACTAACTCCAATATGCATTTGAGATTGACGTTTAAATGGCCTGTCTAGCTTGAATGTAAGATTTTTTTAAACGTACTAAGACATTCTGGAACCAGCTTGATTATTAAACAAAACTGTGCTGCCCAACTTTGCATTTCTGAGAGTTTATGCTTTCATATAACTGACAAGACAGACATAGACAGAATAAGAGTATATATACATTTTAAAGTAAACATATCTAATCCTTTGTTAAATTAGGGGTTGAGAAATGAGCTTGGCATGACTGATCAAGAAATGGTTACCTTAAATGTTGGATTGTAAATATGGATTTTAAAATAGTTAATAATTAATATAGTTAGCTTGACTAAATTTCTAAGACTCAGTAGTCGAGAACTGTAATTTAGGATACCTGATGATATATGACTCAACTAAACTAAGGTTCTTTGGACGATCAAGGCTGTGTTCCTGCAATATTGCACTGAAGCCAGAAATCAAAAAAGGGAAGGTTCATTACTTTCTTTGTAGTCATTTCTAAAATCTAATTGTGAGGCTCAGTGAAAGTGACTACTTAACTTAATGACCACAGTAGTATTTCAAGGTCTATGGGAAAGGACAGAGGCCTTGAATCCAAAAAACTCAGCTCTTCAGTTTATTAGCTGCATGACTGTGGGCAAACTTCAAACATCTCTGATTGATTACTCATCTGCAAAATTCAAAGAGCTAAATCAGATTGTATAGAAAAGATTTTTCAAAAACACCCACAAACATTTATTATGAAGTAAGTTCTGATATGTAGTAAAATGCAAAATTTGAATGTTGAAAAAAAAATGAGACAATAATGAGACTGTAAGTTTACCAGAGCTTCTGTAAGATCTATCTATATTTCCTCTATGGTTGGGATGATTCAAGGGAGACATTTGAAGAAAACTGATATTTTGCTGATTATTAAGCCAAGTGTGGGGACCAGCACTTGGTGTAATGATTATGTTGCTGGACTCCCACATAGTCGACCATGGTTTTGAGTCCCGGGTCCATGGTTTGAAACTCATGTCAGGCATGAGTACATGGGTTCCCAAAATCCTGAGAAGAGAATGGAGGAGAAAAGGACTGTGGTGTGGCCATTCCCTCTGAGGGGTGATTTCTGGCTTTCTGTCTGTCTCTTCAGCAAGCACACTTGTCCTATAGCAAAAATCTAAAAAAAAAAAAAACCCACAAACGTGTGACTATCTAGGAGAAGTTTCCAGTTATTTCTTGATGAAACTGACTAATGGGCTTAATATAATAATATTTATACATACACTATCTGTAGACAAGGGGAGATTTGATTCTCTATTAGAAGCACTCTGTGAGTAAGCTTATTTAGATACTTCATTGAAACTCTGTCTTCTTACATCTCTGTGACCTTCGAGCTTGTTCTGTTTTACTGGAATGCTTTCAGTTTGTCTTGGTGTAACAAATTCCTGATAACTCTTGAAGATCAGATGCAAACACCATCTCCTCTGAGAAGCCTTACCCTGTTTCCACAGGACTCCTTTGTGCTTCCATAGCACTTAGCTCACTCACTAGCTATTACACACACAGAAGGGAACTCCCCAAAGTTCATAGAAAATGGAATTAAAGTTTATTTTGGTGCCAAAACATTTTGAAATTCATTCATAGTTTTTATGAACTTTTTGAGGACCACCCCACAACATACTGCCCCTTAATTAACTTACCTTCCTCTTTTACTTTATGTGCCTTTTTAAGCCTAGGGGCCTTGATGACATTATCTACAATGAGGTCTGGCATAGAATGTCCAGTAAAAAAGATTGAGTGAATTAATTAATAAAATAAACTATACTTAAAGCAAGATTAAACTATACTTATGGAAAATTATATTTGCTAAAAAAATGCCAGCACTGAAAATTGCTAAAATTTAAGGATTTGTGACAGAGTGATTGTTAGCACTTTTATGCTTTTGGAGGGAAGTAATTTTTTTAAGGTTTATTTTTGCCATAGGGCATGTGTGCTTGCCAGAGACAGAGAGATGGAAAGTGAGAAATCATCCCCTGGAGGGATGGCCATGCTGTAACCCGCATACGCGTCCTGTGTTATTTTCAAGCTGCTGGGTCTGGGATATGAACCATGGTCAACTATGTAGGAGTTCATTGCCTTAACCGCCAATGCCACTGCTGGCCTCAGGGTCATGCTTGTCTGCACTCTATGACTGAAACTGATTGACTTAAAGATATACAAACACAAGAGATGGGTGTGAATGCCAGATGTGGTATGTGTGGAGGAGTGGGGCCTAGGGAAGGACATTTGGAGGAGGGATACAGAGACAGAGCATTGACAGGATGAGGAGGTGTAGTGTTATCTGTTGGAGATATTTTGACCAACTGAACTGGGGAGAAATGTTCACATATTGAAATGTTCACTTTGTAAGCAAAACAATGTGATTAAATGTATATAAATAAATAAATAAAACATGTACATTACTTCTTATCTTTGTAAATATGATCTTTATATGTATTTTTGAAAATATGTCTTGCTTTGCAACTTCACTTTCCTTATTTAGGTGATTTCACTGCAAATGTATTTGGGGAAGGGATTATAAAAAATGATCCTCATTGGATTAATAGTGAATGGGGGAATGAGAGAGAGAGAAGGAATCAAGATATTACTTTTGAAAGGATCAAACTATTATAATATCTTGCTTTACATAAACAACTGAAAGTGTATAGCTTTGTTTTGATAGATCATGGCTTCTGCACCTGCTATGTCACATGAAAAACCAAACTCTAGTGATGACATCGACAGTGAGAGTGACATTGAGAGTGATGGCTCTACAGACAGTGAAACCACAGGGAGCATAGCTTCATTTGATCAATCTGAAGAAAATTATCTGAGCTCAGAAGATGACATAGAAGAACCAGCTTCTTGGCAATTGCAGGTTAAAACCAAAACAATGAAGCCTCCAAAAGTCAAAGCCATAGGTGCTACCAGCTGCTATTTAGGTGAGGCATTATTTTTGTATTAATTTTCTCTCCCCCTTTCTTTCCTTTTTTCTTTCTCTCCTTCCTTTTTATCCCAATCTCTACCTTTATTTCAAGGAATGGATACATTTTTCTTTTTTTGTATATGGGAGCATGGAATAAATGTAGAATTGACCTTTTTATGGTTTCTTTTGGTGGGAGAATTTTGGAAGGTAGATGCTATCTATGTATCTATGTATACATCTATATAACATTCAGCATCTGCCTGTAATTCTCTTTCTCTCTTCTCTCTCTCTCTCTCTCTCTCTATATATATATATATAGTTATAAAAGATCTTCAAAAAGTTCAGAGGACATGTACATTATGAAAAACTATGCATGGATTTCAAAAACTTTTTGCACCAAAATAAACTTGTATTTGAATTATATTTTTCCATTAACATTTTGCAGTTCCCTCATAAACATATATCTATTGCTCTCTTTCTCTTTCTCTCTCTCTATATATAATATGTGTGTAGTATATACACACACATATATATACACACTATATGTATAATCTACATACATTCTTACATATCTATCTATATGAGTATATACACATCTCCAAATAAATTAATTTTGAAATTGGCAATTTTCCATATTTCTTCTTTGCTTTTATTTTTTTGTAATATTTTATACCATTAAAATTTATTTGGTGGACCAGCAGATGACATGCTAGTTAAGGTGCTGGACACCCACATGGCTGACCACAGTTTGAGTCCTGGACCTGGTGGCTTGAAACTCATGCCGGGCGCACATATGTGTGTGTGTGTGTGTGTGTGTGTGTGTGTGTGTGTGTATGTGTGCCTGTGTGTGTATGGGTGTGCTCAGAATTCCTGTGTGTGTGTGTGTGTGTGTGTATGTGTGCCTGTGTGTGTATGGGTGTGCTCAGAATTCCAAGAGGAGAATGGAGAGGAGGGATTGCAGCATGACCATCCCCCCTTGGGAGTGATTTCTTGTTTTCTATCTCTCTGGTGAGCACATGCTCCCTATAGCAAAAATCTCCCAAAAAATTATTTGGAAATGAAAATTTAATATTTTCATGTTTAAGAAAAATCTAATTTCAAAACTGTAAGATTAGGCTTGTTTTGCCCATTAAGTATTCTCCACAGCAAGTAGAACAGGCATGTTCTCATTTTGAAAAAAAAAAAAAACAAGCTTTTAATATGCCAAAACTTTCAGCAATGTATATGAAATTCTGTATAAAATATAAATATAGTCAAAATTAGCAATGAATTATTTGTCATTCAAAATTAATTTAAAATTAATATTCAGCCTCTGTTATTTATTTTTAAAGGATTCACTGAATGTAAGAAAATTCTAAGCAAGCTCTCATTGCTGATTTCAAAAACCCTGTCTAAAGCTAAGTAAGTACAACACAAGTTATTCAAAGTATTTTATTACTAGAAAAAAATTCATTTTCTCTATATAGCATAGATTCTAATTTTTCCTGTTAATTTTGTATGAACTACCAATGGGATTAGGAATTAATTTTGAAAAGAGGTAAATCTTTACTTGAGAAGGGTTATAGTGTATCTCTACCTACAGTAGTAAAGAGTAAGATACTGAAGAATTTGAAGAGCAGTGTAAGTGAACAAAAGAGTCAACTTTCTATTAATATTGCACAAAAACAAAGCAGCCATTTTTCACAAGATTATAAAGATGAATTCATGTCTGATATCTGCTAATGCAGGCATAAATCTATATAATTACTTTGGAAAAAATTTGGTATTGCCTCATAAGTTGCATGTCACTAATTCAACTGATAGGAATCCATCCAAGAGTTTTACCTTGGGTTAGGAAGCAACCACATGAATGGCCATAGCAGCACAGTTTGCAATAGCAGAAAATGTGAAAAGAAATAATTTAAGTGACCATAGAAGGAGATGAATGGGAGGGAAAGGGTACTGTGGTGTGATGGGACCTTGTAGAGGGTGTTTTATCCCTCTCTCATTAGTGCACAATCTCTCATTCTCTCTCTCCATTATAAAAACAAATAAATGGAAAACTAGGAGAAAATTTATATAACCAATTGAACTGTAGATTTTTTTAAAGCAGCTATTGTGCTTCTAATCTTTTAATCATGTGTTTTATATTCTTATTCAGAATGATAAGCTTACTTAAAGACTTTGTTGAGTCAGAATTTTTCTTGATTGACGGAGATTCATTACTCATCACTTGTTTTCTCAATGTGAACTTAAAGAAAGGACAAACTCTTCACTTCTTCTATATTGTGGAACAACTTCTGCATGATTTCATCAAAAAAGAAGCCAAATTTGCAGTTGTATTTTTTAAGGTAAAAATAGATTTAATTTTCCATTCTCATTTTGTAGCATCTAAGAAAAATAATTGTTTTGGAATTGCATCAATCATTACTTAGTTTTTCTTAGATACTGTGCTTCTCCATATGCAAAGTCTCTATTAATAGTAATAATACAGAATATGGTACATAGGAAAATAGCTAATGAGTCTATCTGTAACTGAAATTTCTATAGGAAGCAGAATATGTATTTTAATAACCTTAAAATTCTTTTATCATATTAATACAGAAACTTGCATACAACGCCAACATTTAGAAAAATGACTAGTCGCTTTATTTTGATTGCTAATATTAACATTGGTTTCCTTTTTTCTGCAGGATGCAGAAAATATGTATTTTGATTTCCCTGAACTGGCAGCCCTTCGTGTCATGTTGATTCAACATTTAAAACAAAATACCGAAGTCAATATTTACACAGAATTTTCCAATTGTTTGTCACCAGAATGGGAGATATTTCTTAAAGATTGTTATCCATATTTCCTAATTGTCTCCGAAACTGGAATAACTCCTCACCAAACAGACTTCTTAAACATTCTTATCATTCATGCTCTTCAGAAAAAAATCAATATTGTACAATCTTTGGGACTAGAGTCAGATGTCCTTAGGATTTATGGATACCATGCCTCAAGTTGCTATAGACACAAAGAGTTCTTTGAAATGGTAAGTTAGGTTAGATTTCCCAGAAGAAATAAAAAATGCAAACATGGAATAAATTAACCAGAGTACCAACAGTGTAAGTTTTCATTCAAATTTTGAGGTATGAAAAGGCTCTGAAAGAATATATATATATATATATACACACACACACACACATATTGATACACACATATGTATATCTATATAAGTCTAATTTATACATATGTGTATATATACATACACACATATGTGTATATATATATATACATACATACATACATCTGCATATATAAATTAACCAGAGTATCAATAGTGTAAGTCTTCATTCAAATTGGGAATGAATAGGTCCTGAAAGTATATATATATATACATACACACATACACATAGTATATATACACACATATATACATATATATGAATATACACACGTATATATGGATATATACACATATATGTGCGTATATACATAAATGTATAGTGTTTTTGCCATAGAGTATGTGTGCTCATCAGAGAGAGACAGAGACTAAGAGAGAGGCAAGTGAGGAATTATTCCCTAGAGGGGATGGTTAAATGCAATCCCTTCTCTATTCTCTCAGGATTTTAAGGATGCATGCACATGCGTCTGGTGTGTTTTTCAAGTTGCTGGGTCCAGGACTCAAACAGCAGAGTCAGCCATGTGGAGACCAGTGTCTTAACCACCATGCTACCTGCTAGCCCTCTGGAAGAATAATTTAACATGGGAAATAAAGAAGATTTGTTTATATGGTTTTAGCAAGGAAGCTTAATTGAACATAGTTCTGGAATCACTGATAAAAGGTGAGTTTGGGGACCCAGCAAGGAAGCTTAATTGAAGATAGTTCTGGAATCACTGATAAAAGGTGAGTTTGGGGGCACCAGCAGATGACTTAATGGTTACATTGCTGGACTCCCAAGTAGTTGACCATGGTTCGAGTCCTGGACCTAGTGGCTTAAAACTCACACCAGGCACATATGTATGCATGCACAAGATCCTGAGAGAAGAGTGGAGGAAAAGCGATTGCAGTGTGGCCATCTCCCCTGAAGGGGGAGTGATTTCTCACTTTCTGTCTCTCTGTCTCTCTCTGTCTCTCTGGCAAGGATATGAACCCTATAGCAAAAATCTCTCAAAATAAAGGTGAGTTTTGAAAGATAGAGAAATTGTTCTCGTGGATTAAGCATTGTCTGAGTAATTTGTAGAAGTCTGAAGAAAAAGAAAGGGTTCAACTCATTTGCAAGAGACAATAGAGAGGCAGGTGGCTTGATGGTTAAGGGCACTGGACTTCCACATGGCCTACCATAGTTCAAGTCCTGGACCTGGCGGCTTGCTTTCTCACTCTCTCTTTCTCTCGCTTCCTCTGTCCGTCTCTGGTCAAATTAAAATAAATAAATAAAGTTAAATAAAATAATTCTTTAAAAAAAAAAGACAATAGAGAGGACCAAGAAAGAAGCCAAAGGCATGCAAGGATGAGAGTAGGATAATCCCCTTAGTGTCTTCTACATCAATTATATACATGCATGCACACTTACACATACTCATATATATATTACATCTGTATATTTTTTGTATTTACATGGAGTCGTCCCTTGGTATCTGTGGGGAATTGGTTCTAGAACTCCCTGTGAATACTAAAATTCCAGGATACATAAATTGCTTATATAAAATGAAGTAGCATTTGCATATATTCTACACATATCCTCCTACGTGCCTTGAATCATCTCTGTATTACTTATATTTCCTAATAGAAGGACATGCTATGTAAATAGTTACACCATATTGCTTGGTGGATAATGACAAGAGAAAAGTCTGTACATGTTCAAGTATAGACTCAACCAATGATTTTTTCAGATATTTTTATCTGTAGTTATTTGAATGTCTCTGTATTACTTATATTTCCTAATAGAAGGACATGCTATGTAAATAGTTATACCGTATTGCTTAGTGGATAATGACAAGAGAAAAGTCTGTACATGTTCAAATATAGACTCAACCAATTATTTTTTCAGATATTTTATCTGTAGTTGTTTGAATGTGTAGATGTAAAACCATGAATACAGAGGGTTTATAATATATACATATATGTTACACACACACACACACACACACATATATGATATAGAATGATTTTTGTATTCTTACTTCCAGAATTAAGATAAACATTTGATTCTTAGTTGTCATTATTGAAACTATTTTGAATATTTTTTAGCTTTCAAAATAGACAATTATGACTACTAAGCTCCCTTAGTAAATACCATTTACAATTCTTTATTTATTCATTTAAAAAAAAATAACAGGGGCTAGCCTGTGGCTTAGTGAAGGCAGCTGGATCCCACATGGCCCAATCACGTGGTTTGAACCCTTGATTTGGTAGCTTGAAAAACACATGTGTGTGTGTGTGTGTGTGTGTGCGTGTGTGTCTGTGTGTGCCCAAAATCCTGAAAGGAGGGAGAGATGGAAAAGTGACTGCAGCGTGACCATGCCCCATGGGGGATGCCTTCTCACTTTTCCTCTATCTCTGTGTCTTTCCAATGAGTGCAAGCAGCACCTTCTGGCAAATTAAAAGAAAAAAAAAAAGAAGAAGATAACAGATTGGCTGAGCATTACAAAATACACTGCTACTGTTATCACTACTGTTTTAATGGTTAATCTTATTGAAATTAAAACCTTTTAGATTTTGTTATATGTTAATAATCTTAGCCATGGTTCATGAATGAAAGTATATTTCAACTCAAATTAACAGATGTTTTTTTATTTCTCTGTAGCCAAATAATCATAATTTTCTACCTTGTGTATAGTTTAATTAGAAGTTCGAAATATGTCTTTTTACTTGAACCAGAAGATTTACTTATGATTTTTCTCGTTTAGCATGAGAAAAACCTGCAACAGATCTTACATGACTACCTATTAGAGCATTTCCGAAAGTCACAGAAAACAGAAATATTTCTGTATGATCACTTGAAACTAAATTTGGGAGAGATGCAGAAAGAGGTAACAATGCAACTTATCTGAAAACTAAAGTTCGACATCTAAGAATTATACTTTTAATGCTTTTTCTTTTATGAGAGACAGAGAGACAGAAAGGGAGTGAGTCAGAGAAAAAAAGTAAAAGTACGCTTAATTGACAAAAAACTTGTGTATAGTTTAATTAGAAGTTCGAAATATGTCTTTTTACTTGAACCAGAAGATTTACTTATGATTTTTCTCGTTTAGCATGAGAAAAACCTGCAACAGATCTTACATGACTACCTATTAGAGCATTTCCGAAAGTCACAGAAAACAGAAATATTTCTGTATGATCACTTGAAACTAAATTTGGGAGAGATGCAGAAAGAGGTAACAATGCAACTTATCTGAAAACTAAAGTTCAACATCTAAGAATTATACTTTTAATGCTTTTTCTTTTATGAGAGACAGAGAGAAAGGGAGAGAGTCAGAGAAAAAAAGTAAAAGTACGTTTAATTGACAAAAAAATGAGAAGCTATTTGCTGATGATAATGTATGTAGTATATAGTAATGTCTTAGTCTTGATATTCATGGTGTTCATTCTGGAAAAAAATTGTACACTGTAAAGATATATGTGATTAAATGTAAATTAAAAATATATAAATGAAGACATAAAGGAATTATTATGAATGATGAATAAATAAGGTTTATTAAATATAAATAAAATAAATATAAAAACATCAACATAAATATATACATTATAAATGAATTATGAAAAATAATTAAGTTAAAAAAATTATTATGGTGGGTTTGTAAAACAAAAAAAAAAAACGGTGTGCTTGACAGGTTCTTGCTGTGTCATGATCCTTTTGCCCTCCCAATTAGCCAATAGATCCCTGAAACTATGCCGGCATGTTCAGGTTGGCCTGGGAACCAAATCTGGGCCGCCCATGTGGCTTCCAGCCATCAAAGTGGTGGCGCTACCTCTGTACCATTGTCGTTTCAGAAATATACCTTTAATCACTGCTGGAAAACAGACCTATCCAATATCAAGATCTGTGTCCTTATTGATTATATAGGCTTATGTTTCTTTATTAATGGGAAAATTCAACCTTATTTTCTAGAGTTAAATATCACCTAAGCTTTGAAGCTTATTTCTAGATCTTAATAAACAATATTTAATTTCAGATAGATGGAAACTTGTCCTTGCTTCAGAACCTGTGGCCAGAAGGAGCTGATATCAGAAGTATTGTATGTTCTGTTTCATGTTCTGTGACGCTGAAACTATATAAGAAAATGTTACAGGATGTACCAGACTGTGAAGATCTAAACACATGCACAGAAATTCCTGATGCACAGGTAGGATTTATTCAAAAAATTATTTGACTATCTAATATCACTTTTAAAAATATGGCAATGCTGTAAGTAGTAGCTATAAGTGTAAACTTATCAAAAAACAGTCATATGTGTTTGTCAAATATTTGTTAAATAAATATATTGATATATTCTTATAAAAATGTACAGTTTTAAGATTAATTTTTTCTATCAGAACTTGTCATCTGTATCATCCCTGATGATGCAATGGATATCTTTTTTTGTAAGGAATTATTTATTTAATTTCAGTGTTATTATTAATTTGTTAAAGGGCTCACCAGAGACAGAGAAAGAGAGACAGAGAAAGTGAGAAAGCAAGCTGCCAGGTCTGGTACTTGAACCTGTGGTCAGCCATGTGGGAGTCCAACACCTTAACAACCATACCACCTGCTGTCCCCACAATGGGTATCTCTTATTTCATTCTTGCTGCCAGCTGGTCATGCTGCTGAGAATTTCATAGGCCCATCTCTAGGCATAGGTGGTGACAGCCATGGGGAACATAGCATTTGTAAAAGTTGACAGATAATAGTGTTGTCCATGGCAGTAAATAAGGCTAAAATGAGGATGACCCTCAGTAGCTAGCCATTTACTCTTTTACTCAGAACCCAGGTTTTCTTTTAATAATACCTACAATGACTGTGATATTATTAATAACAGCAGTGTTTTAGTCAGGGTTCTCCAGAGGGAGATATTGACAGAATATACAAAGAGAAATTTGAAAATGATTTATTAGGTGAATTATTTCACTTCATAATGGAGGTCAAAACATCCCAACACAGGCCATTTGTGAACTGGCGAATCAAGAAAGCCTGTAGTGTGACTTAGTGAGGGGCCAAAGGCCTGAGAACTATGGAAGCCACTAATGTAACTCTCAGTCTGATACCAAAGGCTTGAGAGCCAGGGGTGCTGGCTTTTGGATTCTGAGTCCCAGAATCCAAAAGAACTTAAGAGTTTTGACATATAAGGGCAGGAGAAGGGCTTCTCAGAACTGGATGAAAGAGCAAATGTGTCCTTCTTTGTCTTTCTGTTCTATACCATCCAATAGATTGGATGATAAAGATGACAATAGATGGGATGGTATCAGATTAAAAGTCATCTTCTCGGGAACCAGCAGTTAGCGTAATGGCTATGTTGCTGGACTCCCACGTAGTTGACCGTGGTTCGTGTCCCGGACCCGGTGGCTTAAAACTCACGCCGGGCGCGTGTGCGTGCGTGCCCAAGATCCCGAGAGGAGAATGGAGGAGAAGGGATTGTGGCGTGACCATCCCCCCTGGGGGGTGATTTCTCGCTTTCTGTCTCTATGTCTCTCTCTGTCTGTCTGGCGAGCGCACGCGCCCTACAGTGAAAATCTCTCCAAAAAAATACAAAAAAGAAAAAGTCATCTTCTCTACTCAGTCCAAACTCATAGCTAATCTCCTCTAGAAAAATTCTCCTGCATACCTAGGGCAATCCAATCATTCTAGACAAAAGCAAAACCACCCCGATTTCCCTTTCAGCAGAAGAAGGATAGGCATGGTATTCACTGAAGCACTGGGAGTAAATAATGCTTTACCACCTATCTGGGTATCCCTTAATCCAGTCATGCTGACATCCCAAATCAACCATTATAAGCAGCTAATTTGTATTGAGTCTTTATTATGTGTCAATTCTGGGTATTTATACATCCTATAATTAATCTTTACAACAATTCTACAGGGTAGATATGGTTATTCTAATTAATAGGTAAATAAGTGTCAAATAGCTAATTGACAGTGGAACTAGGAGACATATTAAGGGCTTTCTTTTTCTTCCGGACTACATTACTGTGTAAGCTGGTCATGCTCTTACATAAAGGAATACGTGTAGCTATAAGAAGTTACTCTCTCCTTGCATTTCTGCTCTTGATGCTGTAAAGAAAAAGATATGAGGCATGTCGTCAAACATGTCACCATCTCCCACCATTTTACAAAATGAAAGTATTAGACACAGTGCATTCAGGGCTTTATTTTTAATGTAAATTTTCCACTACTATTTTTTATGTAGATTTTCCACTACTAATAGTTCTAATGTTTAAAAAAAATAAATTAGGTGGTTATTAGAATCTTTCTTTTTTTTTTTTTAAGAGATTTTTGCCTCAGGGCATATGCACTCATTGGAGAGAGAGGTAGAAACAGAGACAATGAGAGGGAAAGTAAGAAATCACCACCACCATGGTGCAATCCGTTCTCCATTCTCCTCTGGGGATCTTGGGCATGCACACACATACCTGGCCTGAGTTTCAAGCCACTAAGTCTGGGACTTGAACTGCTGTAGGCTATGTAAGAGTCCAGTGACTTAAACATTCTCTACACCATCTGCTGGTCTGGTCAGAGTTTTTCTTAAAGCAGGGTAACTGTAGAAAGAAGTAAGTTAGCTGCGTGGGAAATTATGGGTATTTTAACATACTGTTACTGCAATATGAATTTTTACGTTGTCTATGTGTGTGTTGATATTTTCTGAATTCATGTTTTTCTAGGAGGTGATCAAAGCCCCAACACTAAATGAAGCAGCAGACCTTTGCAGAATGCATTGCCTTAGTATAGCTTTCCTTCAACATTTACCTTTGCTTCAAAGAGCTAAGAGTAGAATCATTACTTCCATTTGGGACAGGACACTTCAACCATTTCTAAGAATGGTAAGCAGACTGTATGAGACTTCATAAGCTTTTTGAAACCAATAAGGCAAAAATCAAAGGCATAATGCTTTGCCTTTACTAATACTACTTTTTTCTATATTCATCTTAAAAAAAACAGCAAATAATGCATGTTCCTAGGAAAAATGATCAGATCATATTATGAAAGCATTCAACATACAAAAGTACCTCGACTGCCTATGAAATACATACTCTGAAGATTTCCAGAACAATAATCCCAACTATTGCTACAGTAAACACATTAAAGTAATGAATACTTTACACCAATTGCATATTTATAATCACTGAAAACTAAGAATAAAGAAATGTAAAAATAATTTTTCAGCTATTAGGATAGTTTTCAAAACCCAAGTTTTCTTACTTGGCACCGTGTTTCCCAGTTCAATGTTTTTGAATAAATTATTGCAAACTTGCATTAGGATTAACACCTTAGCTCAAGAAGAAAGATATATTAGCAAGCAAACTTTTGCCAAAGAAAATATCATATAATTTCCTTTGATATAACTTAAGGCTATTTAAAGTAGAATGCTTCTCCTTAGTTTCAGCATGGTATGAGATAAGCGACAATAAATCACTTAAAAATATAGCAATACCCTCATGAAGTATTGAAAACCCTACATAATATAATCAATTGAAGCATTTTGTGCAGTTGTAAAACTGTATTATTGATTTTCATCATTGTCAGCACAATGGTATTTGCATGCAAGTGACATTTCCACTATATATTTAAGAAATCCTGTCTTATATGTGATTGTGTTTTATTTAGACCATAACTCATGAATGATGCCATAACCAGGTCCTCATTGAAGCTCCGTAGATATAGCAATAGCAGTTAAATACTCACTATTTTAACATATTAATTTTATTAGTCAATGCAGGAATATTTATTGATATCTTGCATGTAATGTGTTCAGAAGAATCATCCTGTTTCAGAGCTGAAGGTATCTTACAGGCAATAGTTGACTCATATTCTTTTACAGCTAGAGGAACTGGAACATAAAAAAAGTCATATATTTTTGTCAATGAGGAGACACTGGCCTGTGCTCTTGATAGTTTGTTTGTTTGTTTTTGTTTATTTTGTATAAAGCATATATCCTGTTGAGAGAAGTTTGAAATAAACATGAACAGTTTGGGGAAATTTTGTATCATTAGAACATGTTCCTATATCTTTCCTTTTATATCATTTTTTTCAGCTAAAGAGGTGTGAATTTTTCATCCTAAAACAACTAACATCTAGAAGTAATTGGAATGTGAATTTCACCAACCTGCCAGACTTAACTGATAATATTTTGTGGAAAAATATTGCTTATTATTATGAAATTGAATACTGTAGAGGTGTGTTTTAAATAACTGTACCGTAAGGCCTTTCATTTATTTTTTTGGTGGGTACATAATTATTTAACAATGGGTCATTCAATTGACTACAACTGTGTAGAAAGAATTGTTTTAATTATGTATTTTTTTTTAATTGCTATAAGATGCATGCACTCACTGGAAATAGAGAAAGTAAGAAAACAGCCTTCAGGAGAACAATAATCTCTTTTCCTCCACTGTTCTTTTGAGTTTTTTTGGAGCACAGAGATATGTATGACTGGCATGGTTTCCAAGCTGTCAGGTCCAGGATTCAAACCATATGTGAGATCCAGCTGCATTAACCACCATGCAACCTGGGTGACTCAGGAAGAATTTTTTGCAAATATTTTCTATGGAAAGTCTGCGTTTTCATAAAGTAAAAGATTCCATAGAGGGCCTTAGTACGAATTTTTTTTTCCCAAGAGTAATTATAGGCTAAGTAATAAGCTTTATTTGAGGGAAATAAGAAAGGTTAAGTGGAAGGAAACTATGGGAATTGCAACTAGAACTCCCTGTAAGTTATCCCTTATTGTGTGTATCTTGCACATAGCAGATATTTTCATGTTATAAAATTAAGGCACAGTTTTGGTGCTGGTTATTTCAAATAAGATGTAGTTTTTGTGAAAACTGAAAAGGAGTCAGGTTGGAACATTTGCTAAAGGAGAATGCAAAGGTATTACCTCAACCTGACCTTTAGAACACCTGACTATATATTTTATTTTATTTACATTAATTATTGTACATCTTTAAAGCATACCATATGATTTTTCAAAGCATGCATGGAGTGCATGTTAATCAACTATTGACACCCAGTCTCCTTCACACTACCATGTTAGAACCACAGGCTAACTTCTTGTTGGCCCATTTTTTCTTTTCTTTTTCTGATTTTCTTTTTGAAGTGATTAAAAAATATATATATAGCAACACCAGTAGCTAAGTCCAAAGATACTTTTACTTTCTTTTAACATTGCTTACAACAATGAGGATTTGACAGAACTTATTCTGTATTGCTTTAAGCATCCAGTAAGAGATACTCACAGACATAAACTTAAGAAATAACTCATATACTTGCAAAATATAAAATATGGTGACTACTGGGCCAGCAATTTGCATAGTGGTTAAGCCCCTGGACTCTCATATGGCCAACCACAGTTTGAGTTCTGGACTTGGTGGCTTAAAAATTCATGCCAGACACAGGTGCATGTGTGCCCAAAGTGCCAGGAGGGGAATGGAAGAGAATTTAATGATCAATTGGCCTATGTTTTCTTCTTCTACTTAGGACTGAACTTGGAATTGGGTGACACTTTGAAGCATGAGTATCACAAACTGTGGAACACAGTCTTAACCTTGGCAGGGGAGGATGATTTTGGAGAATCCATGCCTGTGAGGACAACTTCCAGACCATTTCTTACAGAGAAAAATACATCACCTCAAGGTGCTAACAAATTTTAAAAAGTTTATTTCCTTCAGGACAGAAAGAGATTTATCAGTATGATCTCTTATTTAGAAAATAAACCTGGGCCTGGCCTGGGACTGCAGTGCAGTGTGCAGAGGGAGCTAGATTCCACATGGTTGACTGAGGTTTGGGTTGTAGTCCTAGTGGCTTGAAAAAATTCAACACCAAATCCTGACAGAATGGAGAAACAGGAAAAAGATTTCATATGGCCATTCCCCATTGTGAGTGGTTCTATTCTTTCTTTCTGATGAGTAGAAGTGCGCTCTAGTAATTAAATAAAAAAAGGAAACTAAGTATGACCTTTGTTAGTTTAGCCTGTTTGCCAGGATAGTCTTATTGATTAGCATCTATGCCTACAGTAATTTGTTTGCCTTTCCACTATTTTGTCTGTGTGTTTATTTACTGTAAGTGAGCATGTGAAAAAAAGAAGCTAACTCATTCTATCTGGTATTATGAATTTTTCTATTTATTTTCAAAACAGCCTCTATTCCTCGTATCAACAATCACATTTTATAGAGAATGTCTTGTAAATGTTTTAAATCACAGAGCAAATTCACATTAGAAGGGGCATTTGAATCCAGGTCTATCTCCTTCTATAATCAGGTATAAAAGAAATCTGGTGATATCTTTATTATATTTTCCATACAAGGTAAAAGTTTTGCTAAAGCAAAATATGAAGAGATTCTTTCTAATTTAATTAGACCTAAGAGTGTTGTGATTGACAGATTAGCTAGCTTATTTATACAATTTTTTGTTTTGTTTTGTTTTTGACAGAGGGCATGTGTGCCTTCCAGAAAGAGACAGAAAGAAAGAGAGCCAGTGATAGAAAGTATCCCACAATGGGGCATAGTAAGCCCCAATTCTGTCTCCATTTTTCTATCTTGTCTAAATTTGGGACATGTATACATACACACCAAGCCTGGTTTTCAAGCTGCTGGGGCCTAGATTTGAACTGCAGTCAGTCATGTGGTTCCAGTTCCCTTAACCATTCGATAATAAGACTAGCCCAATCCAGAAAAATTTTATTTTGCACTTAAATGAAAAACAGAACATTTTTTTTTTGAGTTTCAGCTAATCAGAAATGGAGAAGTATGTTAATGCATTTTATTGATACTGATGTTTAAATTTAGAGAATTTTTATAAAACTCATTTGTTTGGTCTATGGAAAAATAGGAATAGTTCTTTCTGTGCTCTAGACTAAATTTTTTTCTGGATTATGTAGTGATTTCTTGACTCTGTTTCTCAAATACATTTAAATATAACTTGAAATTCTACTTAAGTTCACTCTAAGTACGTATTTTACATCTGTGACTTAACTCATAAAATATGAATATAATTGAAACATTCTTATTTGCTATAAGACTACTAAAATACTATGTTCTTTAATGAATGATTAAAATGTTTAGCTCTATCATTCCAGAAACACACTGACACCATAATAGTCAATAATAGAGGTTAGTGTTCAATTATTAACTGTATTTCTGAATGCTGTTAGAATCCAGTCAGGAAATTCATAAATCAGGACTCATTCCTCTGAAGTCTGAGATTATGGAAGATTATGCTGGAGATATTTTGTCAGAACTGTCTTTTCTAAGCAGGTAATTTTAGAAAAAATTTGCCTTCTCATTTTACTTACATTGACTGTAATGGGCTGAATGTTGTGTATATTGTACAAATATGATTAAAATTTCATATTGATAATACATTTTAATAAAAATTTTAGTGAATTTTACTTTGCTATTGAATATTATAATTTTTAACAATCTATGTTTTCTTTAAATAACTTTCTTTCACTCATCATATAGAAAAGTCTCCTTTACTTTTTTCTCTGTAATAGATGTAAAACAACTGACAGTCTAATTAAAACAGCATGTGGCTGAGACGTATTGGTAGTCAAGGCGTGGGAATGAAGCCACATGTGCTGATTAATCATTTATGTGAATATCAAAATTACCAAGAATGATGACAGAAGTAATAGTAGTAAGGAGAAATGTAGTAATCTAGGTTTATGTCTATAGTGAAATCAATGAGCATAACTCCACAGAAAGGATTGACTGACAATGGAATAAGGTTAGGCATACTTAATATTAATGTATTTATTGTCAATCTGAAATTCAAATTTATTAATATACTCTATGTGTTCCTTTATTAAATTTGTTAATTTTGCACTCAAAGCGTATGTTTCAATATGCTTCAGAGGTAGTCTTAAAGCAGTAAAGAAGATATTAAATTGCCTCCAGACCCAGTACAAAGAAGGTAATTATAAGTAATTGTAAGAAAAATTAGCTACATTTCAAGAGAAAGCAAATAAAACAGAAAAGATTCTCTGAGAGAAAAGTAAAATTTTAGTTAGAGAAAATTGAGTGAAGAGAATATTCATAGAGTTTATGAATATAAGGAAATTGCAGATGACAGTTCTTAAATTCTAAAAGACACAATGCAAGATCTTAGTGGAGTTATTAAAGTAGATTCATACAAAGATTAATGTATGGTAAGGATGGATGGTGACCTTACAAATGCAGATTTTGGATGAGGAATATGATAAACAGAGATGATTTGCCTCATGAAACTAGTACTGAAGGTGGTTTAGGTATTTTAAATATTAATCTTCATTCTAGGAGTTGGTCTTTTATACAGTTAATAATAATGACCAAGAAATGCTAGTATAAGTATGTTGAGGAATTTGGGCAATAGTGGTCTCAAGAAGATCAGAAAACTTGGAAGCAAAGGTGGTCCTACCAATTGCATATAGAGCAGATGATAAAATCACCAGCTCCTGGCTTAGTGATTTGTTGTATTTTTTTTTTCTGTTTCTCATTTACATATCCAATCCATAGATGAATTCTGCATTTTAATTTTTAAAATAGTGATAGTTACACCTTTTTGCTTCCAAATGGAGGACTCCATTAAGAATTTCTTATAAGTCCAGTCTTGGGCTGATGTATTCCCTCAGTTTTTGCTTGCTAAGGAAAAACTATTTTTTCTTCAATTCTGAAGGATAGGTTTACTGGGTATAGAAGTGTTTGTTGGCAATTTTTTTTCTCTTTTAAGATTTTGAATATATCACTCCATTCTCTTTGGGCATGGACAGTTTATGCTAAGAAATCCACCATTTGTCTCATGGGCATTCTAGTACATATAAAGATGCTTTCCTCTTACTGCTTTTAAAATTCTTTGTCTTTTGGCATTTTAATTATAATATATCTAAGTGAGGATTTCTTTGAGTTGAATCTGTTTGGAGATTTTTTTTTTTTTTTGAGAGGTTTTTTACTATAGGGCACGTGCGCTCGCCAGACAGACAGAGAGGGACAGAGAGACAGAAAGTGAGAAATCAACCCCCCAGAGGGAATGGCCATGCCACAATCCCTTCTCCTCCATTCTCCTCTTGGGATCCTGGGCATGCACACACACGCACCCAGCATGGGTTTTAAGCCACCGGGTCAGGACGTGTACCGTGGTCAATTACGTGGGAGTCCAGCAACATAGCCATTATGCTAACTGCTGGTTCCCTGTTTGGAGATCTTCGAGCTTCTTCATCTGGATGTCTACATTTCTTTCAATAATTGGGAAGCTTTCAATTATTAATTAAATGAAATTTCTATTCCTATTTTGTCTCTTGTGGAACTACCATTATATGACTATGTGTGTGTGCATGCCCAAAATTCTAAGAGGAGAATGGAAGAGAAGAGATTGTGATGTGGTCTGGAGATCATACTTGATCTCCCTAGAGACTTATTTGTCACTTTTTTTCTTCTATCTCTCTGGTCAGCACACATGCCCTATAGCAAAAAAAAAAAAAAAAAGAAAAACAACTTTTAAAATATTCTCATTTAGAATTATAAACATAAAAGACAGAGATTCTTTAATTGTTTAGAGAATCTAGAGAATAATTGTTCATTGCTTAGAGTGGAAACTAAAACTAAACAAAATTTGTTTTATAAATTATACTTTTTGTTTTTTTTTTTCCCCCAGTGGTGACCCAGCTGTTATGTCTCTTTATAAGAAGAAAGAATTTGATGAACTTATACACTGGCATTCTTCTAGACCTCTCAGTAATGATTTTGAAAGGACTATGGACAGTAGTGCTGGTAATTATAGAATATCTAGTAAATATTTTCAATATTCTTATTGATTATAGAATTGTATTATTTGTATAAGAGGAAAAAAGACTCATCTGAAGTCTAATACATAGTCCCTTCCACCCCACCCCACCGTTATAAACATTTCCAACATCTTCTATGGAAGGACCCAGGAAAAGCTAGTTTCTATAGTATTAATTCAAAAAATGAAATTCTAATAAATATGTATAGGGGAATAATTAATCTATTTAGATAGGATCTTTTGTTAAAAAGGAATTATTTTATTTAATGTTATTTTTATTTTTATCTATTTATTTTAATTTGACCAGAGACAAAGAGAGAGAGAGAGCGATGGAAATAGAGAAAGCAAGTCACCAGGTCTGGGACTTGAACCATGGTCAGCCATGTGAGAGCCCAGTGCCCTTAACCACCATGCCACCTACCACCCCACAGACAGGATATTAATTTTTTTATTTTTTCTTGAGTTTCTAGAACAAATTATTTTACATGCTATTATTAAAATTTCTTTAGTTTTTTTTTTTCTTTTTGGTTAAAAATCCTGTCTTGTTATTTCACAGTATTTGGTGTCTTCATTGTATTATTATTGCTGCAATTAGTGATTACATCTATTACTTACTAAAAAATAGATTACATCTATTACTTGCTAAAAATTACATCTATTACTTGCTAATGTTGCATTTATTTTAAAAACTTCAGTATTTAAATGATTAAATAGTAACCCCAAGTTGTAAGATTTTATGTGCCAGTATAGCTTGTCATATTGTTATCTTGAATTTCAAACTGGTACAGAAAAACCAATATGGGAAAAATTGAAAACCAATGCACAAAATTAGAATTTCTTATAGCTCAGAAGGTAGGAGCCAAATTGGAGTTGCATATCTCTAACACACTCATTCAGTATCCATCCTATTAATTGAGACCTGCTATATATCTTTGGACTTTGGGGATACAGTAGGGTTCATGAAAGAGATGTTCCTGCTCTTGAAGCACTCAGAGTTTTGCAGGGAATCCAGTAGTAAGCACGCTATTACAGAGATACATACTTAAAATCATGACGAATTGTATGATCAAAAGCAGTATGTGTCAAGACAGATGTCTAGATAGCTCCTAGAGAGAAGGGGTGGGGGATTTCAAGCCAAATGTGAATGATGATGTTAGCTAAGTAGGTGAAGGGGATGTGGTGTAGTCATGGTGGGCACTGGGAGGGAGACAGCACTCCTGATGTGAGAAGGAGTATTACAGAAGTGACCAGGGAGCCTGGCATTCTGAGTGGGATGTGAGATGACTCTGCATTGTGCAGGCCTCTGTAGGCCCTGGAGAGGATTTCAAGCATTAGTCACTGGAAGGCACTGAAATATTGAGAACATGTGAGCTTTTTGATTGGTTTACTTCTAAAAACATTATTTATTTTTTAGGTCTTTGCCATAGGGCACATGTACTCACTGAAGAGAGACAGAGGGAAAATGAGACATGGCCCCTTAAGGTGGTGGTGGATGGCCACATTGCAATACCTTCTCCTCCATTCTTTTCTCAGGATTTTGGGTACATGATTTTTCAAGCTGCCAGGTCAGGGACTTGACCCATGGTTGGCCACGTGGGAACCCAGTGACTTATCTACCATGCCACTTACTGGCCCCAATTGGCTTGCATTTTAAAAGGGTCAATTTGGAAGGAGCCTGGAAAGAAGATGTTGCTTTCCCACGAGAGGACATTAACTATTAAATGGGAGGATCTTGAATGTTTCCAGCATAGTAATTACAAATGGTTGATATGATAGATGTGCTAATTATCCTGAATGAATAACTCATCGTATATTTGTATTGTGAAATCAGTTTGTATCCCTACAAGTACATACAACTATAATATGATAATAAAACTTTTTTTGGGAGAGAAAGGGAGAGATAGACACAATGAGAGGAAAAGTGAGAAACCATCCCTGGGGGGATGGCTATTCGATTGCCTCCATTTTTTTCTTCCATTCTTCTCCTGGGATCTTGGGCATGCATGGACATGTGCCGGGCATGAGATTCAAGCCACAGGGTCTGGACAGTTAGCTGTGTGGGAGTCCAGTGACATAACAGTTGCTGACTCCAATAAAACATTTTTTGAAAAAGAAAAAAACACCCCAAAGTTAATCATTTAAAGAAAAGTTGCAGGGAAATCAGGCTGTTGAACTGTGCTTTTTTTGAGAGGCTTTTGCTATAGGGCGTGTGTGCTCGCCAGAAAGACAGAGAGAGACAGAGAGACAGAAAGTGAGAAATCACCCCCCTGGGGAGGATGGCCATGCCATAATCCCTTCTCCTTCATTCTCCTCTAGGGATCTTGGGCACACATGCACATGCACCTGGTGTGAGTTTAAATCACCGGGTCCAGGACTTGAACCATGGTCGACTACATGGGAGTCCAGCAACATAGCCATTATGCTAATTGCTGGTCCCTTGAAGTGTGCTTTCATGGAGACAAATTCAGGACTTGGGGGAATGGTGGTAGTGATGGAGGGCAGTAGCCCTGATGCTAATGTGCTATGAGAGGTGGGACCTCCTGGTTTAGGTGGAGTGCTGATCAGCCCTCTGTGTGTCTGATCCGTCCTTACTCTGGAGATTGTAGTTAGACTATGTTCTAGCTCCACAAAGTGATGGCGGTGGGAGAGACCAAGTCCAGGTGCACTGGGAAGGAGCTGGCCTCTGTACTCTCAGTACCCTCAGTGATAGGGTGGCCAGTCAGTGCCACAGGCAGTTTGAAGTATATTCTTGGCTTCTGGCATTTTCTGTTCCCGTTGCTGAGTTAGGAATCACTTGAGTATTCCTCAGGAGTGGTCTGTAAAGCAGTCAGGGAAATTAGTATCCGAATGAGAGAAGGGGATCTAGTCTGCTCTCTGGTGCTCTTTGGGGTATCATACAGATGGGGAATAGTTGGGCAGCAAGTTGGGTAAATCGCTTAATCTCAGCGGGGGTATTTATTCCCAGCCGTGATACATTCCTTTAAGATGAGTCTAGAGCTGCTTTAGACTAAGAATACTCTGTAAATTGGTAATGTCTTGTTTTCGCAGTCCATTCCATATTATCACAAGGAATTTGACTAAGTTGTTTAGCCAAATATTTCTGACCTAATTCTGGGGTAGTTTTCAGGGACTCTGTTTCCAAGTCTGATGTCCATATAGATTTTTCATGCACTTTCTTCTGGACCTTGTGGTCAGTAATGAAAAACTGCCAGTTTGTGTTTTCTTTTGTGGTTTTGATACATCAGAAGATAAGTGGGGCCTAAGCTCACTATGGACTTATTTTGCAGGACAGACCTATAATGCCTGGTAAATGATAAATAGGAATATGTAAATAACAGATGTTAATTTAAATCCTTCAGTGATATTTAAATATGGCTCATTTTTTTTTAATATCTCTATACCTCAGTCTCTCTAATGTGTCTATAATTAAATTCATGTGAGTCAACATCTTTCTCATGAGTGCTTTCAGACAGGAAATTCTATTTATAAAAAGTAATGTCTGTGTATTTTAATTATTTCTTTCCGACAGTCAAATCTAATGATGCCAAAGAAAGGAGAAAAGTACAGAAATTACATCATTTTTATCATTTCTTTGGAAAATCTTTGATAAGCCGTAACAGAGCAGTACAGATTGTAATAGGAAGACCTCTGCCTCCACTTCCAGCAAATTCCTCTGGACACAAAAGAAGACAGCAGGTACTTCCTTGACCTAGCAGGGCTCAGTCATGTGGAAGTCTGAGACTCTACCCTTTCCACAGCAGAGCTGCATTCACCACATCCAGCACTATACACAGTAGTCATCTCATGTATTATTAGAGAAGAAAACTATCCTGCCTTTTTTTGTTTGTTTTTAAGAGAGATTTTTGCTATAGGGTGCTTGCATTCTCCGGAGAGACAAAAAAAGTGAGAAATTAAGAACTCACTCCCTACCCCCACATACACAGAGGATGGGCACGCTGCAACCCCTTCTCCTTCGTTCTCTTTCTGGGATTTTGGGCACACATGTACATGCACCCAGTATGTGTTTTGAGCTGCTGGGTCTGGGATTCAAACCACAGTAAGCCTTGCAGAAGTCCAGCACCTTAACTGCTAAGCCACTTGCTGGCCCCCCTAAGCTATCCTTTAAAAAAAAAAAAACTGTCAAATCAAGTATACTTAAAATACTTTGAGTTTCAAAAGATAAAGAAAAATATAATGATGAAAACAGAATTCTAATAAGGCCTTTGCACAGAGTTAAGCACTATAAACATTGTGATGCATTTCCTGTAGTCATTTTCTTTTACTATTAAAAATCTTTCGAAACATAATTTGGAGACTTTCCATGACATTTGAATACATAATATTCCATAAAATGGTCATATTATTATTTGTTTAGTAAGTTCCTGGTTGGACTATAGAAAAATAAGAAAAAAGAAAAAAGAGAAAATAAAAATCTATATTTTCTTATCTCTCAGGTAATTATATGCTATTAACATTTTCATATAAATCTTTTCAGTTATTTTCATTTATATAGTGATTTGTTTTTGTTTTATTTACAAAAACGTTTTCATATATTTCAACCTAGTTTTCCACCCATTACTTACTACATAATTAGTATCTTTTCATGTCATTATATACATCTACAATAGCACATTGTTTTCTAAATTTTAAGTATCTTCGTTTAGGTTTCCTACAAAAGTTTTAAAAAATGAAAAAAAAATTAGTAAAATTCTACCCACTTCAAAACTTATTGTAATAAACTTTTCAGTGAATATCTTTCAAATATTTCAATCTATGGGCATTTGTAAACAACACAATTTAAAAACTGTACATGTTTTTATATATTTCTACATAAAAATATCGGGTCATGGAAAAAGTCATGGCCTATTTTTCCATGTAAAAATGTGTCATGACTTTTCCAACAGTTCAATAGTAATAATATGTTATTGATGTGTTGAGTTCTTTTAAATGTCAAAGGGCATGTGAGGGAGAGAGAAAGAGAGACACAAAATGAGAAGGAGAGAAAGTACCCTCCCAATATAATGTGATTTGACTAAAATTCTCCCTTTTCCATTTTTTCTTCCTATCTGGATTTGGAGCATGCGTACACACGTTTGGAGTGGTTTAGAAGCTGCCAAGGCCAGAATCTGAACATGGTCAGCCATGCGGGGCCCAGTTCCCTGAACTACTAGGCTGTGCCAGGTCTATTGTTTTCTTAGGTAAAAAGCACCTTGCTGGGAACCAGCAGTTAGCATAATGGCTATGTCGCTGGACTCCCACGTAGTCGACCACGGTTCGTGTCCCGGACCCGGTGGCTTAAAACTCACGCCGGGCACGTGTGCGTGCGTGCCCAAGATCCCGAGAGGAGAATGGAGGAGAAGGGATTGCGGCGTGACCATCCCCCCTGGGGCGTGATTTCTCGCTTTCTGTCTCTATGTCTCTGTCTGGCGAGCGCATGCGCCCTACAGTGAAAATCTCTCCAAAAAAAAAAAATTAAAAAAAAAAAAAAAAAAAGCACCTTGCTAAGTTAAATAGCTATTGAGTAGCCAAGCCAAGCTGAGCTCTTAGGTTTGTACTTGTAACCAACCACTTAGTTGTAAGGATTACCGTTGTTGGTGTATGAGCAGCATGCCTTTTGTTTGTTTGTTTATTTATTTATTACTTCTTTTCAACAAGAGGTTTTAATCCTAGTTTTTTGTGTTTCAGTGATATGAATATCTTATCAAAATTTAGAGTCCAATTGGAATTTTTCCCTATGAGTTTCTCTACCATGTTTTCTTAAAGTTTATTTATTTCTTCCAATAATTACATATATAGAGAGATATCATTGATAAATAATATAATACACACACACATATGAAGAGAGAGAGAGAAAGAGAGATATAACACCTTTAGTGTCACAATTAATTCCCAGCTTCAGTTAGCTCAGCCTATGGGAAAACATGTAATTGGCACAATGGTCTCTGGATATGAGCCAGTAACCTTCCCACATGAGTCTGCCTCACAAAATGTCACGTTGTACCACTGCACCATTGTCTGGCCCCTTTAATATTCTTCATTTGTTATTTGCTATAGAAATTTCATTGATTGCTCAGAGCTACATATATTTAAAATCTATCAATAGTATTTCTTGTCATATATGCTGAAAATATTTTTTAGTCTTTATGCCTAGGGAATGTCATTTTTCTATATGTTATTCCCATAGATCACACTCTTTGGGAATATGGCTTTACCTCTGGCTATTATGTACTTCTCCTATGGGGACCTAACATTACTTAATTGGTACTGAGGCACTTTTAAGATGGCCTAATATTTCCCTATTGAAAGGTGGAGGATGGAGGTGGGCTAACTACAGACATGCCCTGAAGTTTGGACAAGAAATTTTGTCATAGAGATGGGCTATGGAGGCATGCTATAATTTGATATTAGAATATTAGATTTAATTTTGCTAGTACTTATAACTACTTTCATAGTACCCCATTAAAATTTGTTTAACTTCAAGTTCTTTTATGCATTCAATCACGTTATTTAGCTTGCAAAGTGAATTTTCCAACATGTGTACATTTCTCCCCAGTCCAGTTGGTAATACTATAAAGTTATCTTTAATAGGTAATACCCCGGGGACCAGCAGTTAGCATAATGGCTATGTCGCTGGACTCCCATGTAGCCAACAGAGGTTCGG